TCTGAAGCCTTGAAAGTCAATCACAGAATACTGACAAGTATTCCGTGTAAAGTTATGGAGAGAGTAGTGAGGCTGACAATGGTGGATCACATGGGAGAAAACACAAGTCTGTGACGAAAGTGTATCATGGAAATAGAGACAGAAAATAATGCCTGCTAAGCTGAGTGCTATGTCAAGCTTATTAGTATACAACAGGGAAAAAAAGACTCGGCTCATTGTAATTTTACCTATCTGTCAAAAAATATTTGATACTCTAATTCGAGAAAGACTTGTATACAAGGTGGAGAAGCACGCTGGAATAACTGAACACCTACTGAACTGAGTATGGGAGCACCTGAAGAACACACAGACACTCAGAGGCCAGATCACGAGTTTGGAGGACTGGAACAAGTGCAGTTCCCCAAGGTCCGGTCCTGGGACTAACACTGCTCCTAATTTATTTAAACAAACTATCCGAGGGAGTGAGCTCGTATATGTTCATATTTGTAGACGATGGAAAACTGGCGAGGCATATAAACACAGAGGAAGACTGCAGAAGGTTCCTGGAAAAAGCATGTCAAACTGGTGTGGAGTCCTAACAAGTGTAAGATAAAGAAGATGGGGGAGAGAGAGAGAGAGAGAGAGAGAGAGAGAGAAAGAACACCAGAAGGTGTCTATGCAAATTATAGACAAGTGCAGGAATCGCAGAAAGAGATGTGGGAGTGAATATAATTCCAAACATATATAGGGTAACATCAGCAGCACATGCAATACCGGCAACATCAGAGCGGCATTTTGTAACCAAAATCAGAACTCGTTCGAGGCAGTCTACAATTTTTTTTTTTTAGTTAAACCAATACTGGAATATGCAGCACCAGCATGGAATCCGCACCTTGTGAAGCATAACATGAAAATTGAGAAAGTAAAAAGATATGCAACATTATTAATTCCAGAACTAAAAGGGTTAAACTACTACAATAGCCTAGTGGAACTAAATCTCACAACACAAGAAGGCAGAATAAACAGAAGTGGGAAATGATCACAACATACAAGATACTGAGGAAAATAGAAAAGATGGATAATGCAAGCCATTTTAAATTGAGAGTAGAACAACAGTACACAGGCGGAAGCTGGAAAAGCAAACAGATCTAAGAAATATAGGGCAATTCTCCCACCCAGCACGAGGGGTCGACAAGTGGAGGGCAGTGAGAGGAGAAGTTGTGGAAGCCACCTCCTCCATCCACAACTTTAAGGCCAAATTCGATAAACAAAAATCAGAACGTCAGAATTATTAAATTATTACGCAGCAGGTGCGACGAGACTGGCTGGGGGGGGGGGGGGCATGAAGAGCTGGCCGTCACTTTCCCGTAGATAGTGATTGGTAAGTACTGGTGGTAAGTACTGGTGGTAAGTACTGGTGGTAAGTACTGGTGGTAAGTACTGGTGGTAAGTACTGATGGTAAGTACTGATGGTAAGTACTGGTGGTAAGTACTGATGGTAAGTACTGGTGGTAAGTACTGATGGTAAGTACTGATGGTAAGTACTGATGGTAAGTACTGAAGGTAAGTACTGAAGGTAAGTACTGATGGTAAGTACTGATGGTAAGTACTGATGGTAAGTACTGATGGTAAGTACTGAAGGTAAGTACTGATGGTAAGTACTGATGGTAAGTACTGAAGGTAAGTACTGATGGTAAGTACTGAAGGTAAGTACTGATGGTAAGTACTGATGGTAAGTACTGAAGGTAAGTACTGATGGTAAGTACTGGTGGTAAGTACTGATGGTAAGTACTGATGGTAAGTACTGGTGGTAAGTACTGATGGTAGGTACTGATGGTAGGTACTGATGGTAAGTACTGATGGTAGGTACTGATGGTAAGTACTGATGGTAAGTACTGATGGTAAGTACTGGTGGTAAGTACTGATGGTAAGTACTGATGGTAAGTACTGATGGTAAGTACTGATGGTAAGTACTGATGGTAAGTACTGATGGTAAGTACTGATGGTAGGTACTGATGGTAAGTACTGATGGTAAGTACTGATGGTAAGTACTGATGGTAAGTACTGATGGTAAGTACTGATGGTAAGTACTGATGGTAAGTACTGATGGTAAGTACTGAATGGTAAGTACTGATGGTAAGTACTGAATGGTAAGTACTGATGGTAAGTACTGATGGTGAGTACTGAATGGTAAGTACTGATGGTAAGTACTGAATGGTAAGTACTGAATGGTAAGTACTGATGGTAAGTACTGATGGTAAGTACTTAATAAGAGGTAGGGTAAAATAAGTCTTGCCCTCCTCACTGTGTTCAGTCTTACCCGTCCTCACCGTGTTCAGTCTTACCCTTCTCACCGTGTTCAGTCTTACCCTTCTCACCGTGTTCAGTCTTACCCGTCCTCACCGTGTTCAGTCTTACCCTCCTCACCGTGTTCAGTCTTGCCTTCCTCACCATGTTCAGTCTTACCCTCCTCACCATGTTCAGTCTTACCCTTCTCACCGTGTTCAGTCTTACCCGTCCTCACTGTGTTCAGTCTTACCCTCCTCACTGTGTTCAGTCTTGCCTTCCTCACCATGTTCAGTGTTACCCTCCTCACCATGTTCAGTCTTACCCTTCTCACCGTGTTCAGTCTTACCCGTCCTCACCATGTTCAGTCTTACCCTCCTCACCGTGTTCAGTCTTACCCTTCTCACCGTGTTCAGTCTTACCCTCCTCACCGTGTTCAGTCTTACCCTTCTCACCGTGTTCAGTCTTACCCGTCCTCACTGTGTTCAGTCTTACCCTTCTCACCGTGTTCAGTCTTACCCGTCCTCACTGTGTTCAGTCTTGCCTTCCTCACCATGTTCAGTCTTACCCTTCTCACCGTGTTCAGTCTTACCCTCTTCACCGTGTTCAGTCTTACCCTTCTCACCGTGTTCAGTCTTACCCGTCCTCACTGTGTTCAGTCTTGCCTTCCTCACCGTGTTCAGTCTTACCCTCCTCACGAAGGCTCCGATAAACGATTGGTTTAAATTTCACATAAACTGATAAGGTCGCTGGAGCGTTAAGAAGATAACCCCCACAAACTACTCATGTAACACAGCCAGTTGCAAAATACTGTATTCATAACAAGTGTTCGTGATGGAGAATATACAATGTTCGTAATTACAATATGGTGTTCAGAATTGCAAAAGGCAGTGTTGGTAATTATGAATCCTCCAAAAAATGTATTTTCATTAATATCTTAAAAAAACAGCTTCACTCATAATCTTCCCTCATTCTGAGAGCTTCACCCGCGTCCTCATCTTCAGGCGGAGATGAGGATATATTGATGTCAGGCGATATATTGATGTGAGGGGTATTATATGAGGAGCAGGGTCATTATTATATGAGGTCATTATAACTATACAGCACATGCCAGGGATACGAGGATGATGAGCTGGGACATGAGGACACGGAGCTGGGTTATGAGGACAAGGAGCTGGGATATGAGGACAATGAGCTGGGATATGAGGATCATGAGCTGGGTTATGAGTACAATGACCTGGGATACTAGGACAATGAGCTGGGATATGAGGACAAGGAGCTAGGATATGAGGACAATGAGCTGGGATATGAGGACAAGGAGCTAGGATATGAGGACAATGAGCTGGGATATGAGGACAATGACCTGGGATACTAGGACAATGAGCTGGGATATGAGGACAATGAGCTGGGATATGAGGACAAGGAGCTGGGATATGAGGACAAGGAGCTAGGATATGAGGACAATGAGCTGGGATATGAGGACAAGGAGCTAGGATATGAGGACAATGAGCTGGGATATGAGGACAATGAGCTGGGATATGAGGACAATGAGCTGGGATATGAGGACAATGAGCTGGGATATGAGGAGAAGGAGCTAGGATATGAGGACAATGAGCTGGGATATGAGGACAATGAGCTGGGATATGAGGACAAGGAGCTAGGATATGAGGACAATGAGCTAGGATATGAGGACAATGAGCTGGGATATGAGGACAAGGAGCTAGGATATGAGGACAATGAGCTGGGATATGAGGACAAGGAGCTAGGATATGAGGACAATGAGCTGGGATATGAGGACAAGGAGCTAGGATATGAGGACAATGAGCTAGGATATGAGGACAATGAGCTGGGATATGAGGACAATGAGCTGGGATATGAGGACAATGAGCTGGGCTATGAGGACAAGGAGCTAGGATATGAGGACAATGAGCTGGGATATGAGGACAATGAGCTGGGATATGAGGACAATGAGCTAGGATATGAGGACAATGAGCTGGGATATGAGGACAAGGAGCTAGGATATGAGGACAATGAGCTGGTATATGAGGACAAGGAGCTGGGATATGAGGACAAGGAGCTAGGATATGAGGACAAGGAGCTGGGATATGAGGACAAAGAGCTGGGATATGAGGACAAGGAGCTAGGATATGAGGACAAGGAGCTGGGATATGAGGACAAGGAGCTAGGATATGAGGACAAAGAGCTGGGATATGAGGACAAGGAGCTAGGATATGAGGACAATGAGCTGGGATATGAGGACAATGAGCTGGGATATGAGGACAATGAGCTGGGATATGAGGACAATGAGCTGGGATATGAGGACAATGAGCTGGGATATGAGGACAAGGAGCTAGGATATGAGGACAATGAGCTGGGATATGAGGACAAGGAGCTAGGATATGAGGACAATGAGCTGGGATATGAGGACAATGAGCTGGGATATGAGGACAATGAGCTGGGATATGAGGACAATGAGCTGGGATATGAGGACGGAGTGAAGAAACGATGCTCAGCATGCATCTGTCTCATGAACTGAATATACTCATCACCACAATTTTATAATCTGATCCCCACCATTATATATACTCATCCCGCAAATCTATATAGTCATCCCAGCACTGTACTCATCCCAGCACTGTACTCATCCCAGCACTGTACTCATCCTAGCACTGTACTCATCCCAGCACTGTATGTACCCATTCCCATCATGGTATTGGACGGGACGGTATTCTAAGATGGATAAGAACTTGGGGATTTCAAAGAAAGTAGATCTTGCATCACTGGAGCTGTACCCGAGTGTGCCCCAGGGTACCTGACCTGTGACCCTTCTCTCTCTCTCTCTCTCTCTCTCTCTCTCTCTCTCTCTCTCTCTCTCTCTCTCTCTCTCTCTCTCTCTCTCTCTCTCTCTCTCTCTCTCTCTCTCTCTCTCTCTCTCTCTCTCTCTCTCTCTTTATCTCTCTTTATATATATATATATATATATATATATATATATATATATATATAAATCTTTAGACACATTGAAAAGCAACATTTAAAGTAATTAACAGACTGGTTGTGTATAGAAGCATTGTAATTATCGTAATTATCTTCGTAAATAATGTATCATTAAGAAAGTAACGATCGACGGAAGGCTCCAAGCTAGGGAGACTATGTAGCTAAATAATGTATCAGATTAACTGAATCAGAATGGGAGAAACATATAATGAATTGATTAGAACTGCCTGCAGTGGGAGAGCAGCAATAGTCAGCTGGAACAGTTGGGTGGCAGGCATGCCGGAGGATGAGGTTCGTCGAAAAACCTGAAAAAAAATTAATCTAAAAGCCTCGACCAGGATTCGAACCCATGCCGTTCAGGATCAACCCTAAACGTACTACATAGTACTGTGATCTAAATAATTTAAAAGACTTAAGTGTTTTAGAAAGAAAGACCACAGGCAGGTTCTATCATGTGTTTCGCAACTGCTGACGGAACCTGTACATCTTTCCTCAATTATTGGTGCGTTGTTTATACATGTATTAGCAGTTTATGTTCAAACAGGAAAGAGCTCAAAAGTTTCCAACCCAAAGTGATTATTGCTATAAACAACCTGGTAGTGTTACGGAGCTTATAAACTGTTTAATTAATGTAAACAAAGCCGCTTTGATTGAGGAAAGATGCAGAGGTTTCGTAAGCAGTTTGATGACTCCTGGGCCCTAACTCAACACGTAAGGCAGAGAACTTGAGGTCCACCTTTTGTTGTAATGATATAATCCTGTGTCATCAGGGGGTATACACGCAGAGAGGTGTACCCTGTTTCTGAGTGTATGTGCACTGAGTTTACCTTGATCAGTTTACTATACACTGAGTTTACCTTGATCAGTTTACTGTACACTGAGTTTACCTTGTTCAGATTAATGTACATTGAGTTTACCTTGTTCAGATTAATGTACACTGAGTTTACCTTGCTAAGTTTACTGTACATTGAGTTTACCTTGCTCAGCTTACTATACACTGAGTTTACCTTGATCAGTTTACTGTACACTGAGTTTACCTTGTTCAGCTTACTGTGCATTGAGTTTACCTTGCTCAGCTTACTGTACATTGAGTTTACCTTGCTCAATTTACTGTACACATAGTTTACCTCATTCAGTTTACTGTACACAGAGTTTACCTTACTCAGCTTACTGTAAACTGAGTTTACCTTGTTAAGCTTACTGTACATTGAGTTTCCATTGCTCAATTTACTGTACACATAGTTTACCTCATTCAGTTTACTGTACACAGAGTTTACCTTGCTCAGTTTACTGTACACTGAGTTTACCTTCCTTACCTTGCTTGCTTTACCATAGTCCAAGAAAAAGTCTTGGACTATGTTCAGGACAAAAGTAAACTTACTAGTTGCTCAATAAGCTGTTGTAGTGACTGTAATAACCCTCCAGAGAGTGATAGACCTCAAGACCAACACTAAACCACAACACAACACTAGAGAGTGTTGGTGGACCATCTACACGCGCCGGGTTCTACAATACAAACATCAATTAATATGTTTGTCATAATTCTCGACGCTGCTGACCGGAGATGAAAATGTAATCCTCGCTGATGCTTCGCTAGGAAATACCAGATCACGAGAGAGTTGATGAATTGGCTATTGATCACCATAACATGGTACCAGGAAGAGGGGGGGATGGTTGTATCAATGATTATAATCACGGGAGTATTATACACAGGCGTCTGGGAACATGCACTCTACACTCAACACACTTTACATCTAACACATTCTACACCCTATACACACTCTACACCCAACACTACTCCCAATACACTCTCCACAACACAATACATACAGCATATTTTCAAGTCACTATACTCACGACTCGTGAGACTCTCGACCTTGTAGAGTTCATATAATAAACTCATTACCAAAGACACTCACTAGCAAACACTGATTACATGAGCAAACCAGCCAACACACACACACACACACACACACACACACACACACACACACACACACACACACACACACACACACACACACACACACACACACACACACACACACACACACACACACACACACACACACACACACATACACACATGTGTGAGTGTGGAGGGGGGACCCTGACGGCTGAGGGGACAGCGCTCGGGATTCGTAGTCCTTAGGGCCAGAGTTCGATCCCCGGCGGCGATGGAAATAAATGGGCAGAATTTCTTTCACCCTGATGCGCCTGTTCAACAAGCAGTAAATATGTTCCTGGGAGTTAGACAGCTGCTACGGGCTGCTTCCTGTGTGTGTGTGGGGGGGGGGGGGAGAAATCAGTTGATAGACAGTTGAGAGACGGATCCATAGAGCCAGAGCTTAACCCCCGCAAGCACAACTAGGTGAGAACAACTTGGTAAGTACACACACACACAAGGACCACAGGAAATGGGACCAGGAGCCAGGAGACCGAAAGACCAATACCAGGTGAAGGGAAACTTTACCTCCCCTATAACTACTAGAGAAAAAGACCTGGGAGTGGACATAACACCAAACCTTACTCCAGAGGCTCATATATATAGAATAACGTCAGCCACATACTGTACTCTGGCAAGAGTCAGAACATCCATCAGAAACTTGAAGAAAGAGGCTTTTAGATCACTGTATACCGCCTGTGTGAGACCAGTCTTAGATTATGCCGACCATCTTGAAGACCCCCATCTAAAAAAACATATAAGGAAGCTCGGAAAGGTGTAGAAATTTGCAACGAGACTCTGATGCACGAAGAGTGACTGAAGGAACTAAACCTGACGACGTTAGAAAGGAAGAGGGAGAGGGCTATGATACAGACGTATAAAATACCTAAAGGGATTGACTGGGTGGAAATAGAAGAAATGTTTACAGTGAATATCAACAGAACAAGGCGGCTCGGATGGAAGCTTGAGACTCAGTTGTGTCATAGGGATATTAGAAAGTTTTCCTTTAGCGTGAGGGTAGTGAGTAAATGGAATGACCTACAGGAGCAGGTTGTAGAGGCTAACTCCATTCATAACTTTAAAAGCAGGTATGATAGGGAAATAGGTCAGGAGTTATTTTATTAGTACAACCATCGGCTAGAAAAGGGGCAGGCTTCCTATTGTTTCTTTCGGGCGAATAGGAAGCAGCTTCTATTAACCCCACAAGAGGCAGCTCCTATTAACCCCACAAAAAGCATCTCCTATTTATAACCACCCCAGACTCATTCATATAGATGTCTAACTTACGCTTGAAACAATCTAAACCCCCCCCCCCATCTATTATTTAACCCGATAATATTTGTTCCCTCAGAGATCCACCACCCAACCTCCCCTAACCAGTATTTACCCCTGGACTTTCCTCAATCTAAATTTATCCAACTCATATCCACACTCTCCCACACGACACAGTTTGGGAGCGTCGCTGTTGACGCATATAAGCGTCTCGCGTCCCGTCTGACCGGACCTACTCGTCTGACCGGACCTACTCGTCTGACCGGACCTACTCGTCTGACCGGACCTACTCGTCTGACCGGACCTACTCGTCTGACCGGACCTACTCGTCTGACCGGACCTACTCGTCTGACCGGACCTACTCGTCTGACCGGACCTACTCGTCTGACCGGACCTACTCGTCTGACCGGACCTACTCGTCTGACCGGACCTACTCGTCTGACCGGACCTTCTCGTCTGACCGGACCTACTCGTCTGACCGGACCTACTCGTCTGACCGGACCTACTCGTCTGACCAGACCTACTCGTCTGACCGGACCTACTCGTCTGACCGGACCTACTCGTCTGACCGGACCTACAAGGGGGGGGGAGTGGGGAAATACACACAAGGGTGAACCTAACTCCTCCATTATAAACTTCAAGGGACGGACGTGGCCGACCAGGAAATTGAGGCGAAGTCTTTTTTCAGATCGAGTCGATCGATGTTGTTATGAGACAGCTTTGTGAAGGTTACTGTTGGGGAGGGGGGGGAGGGGGGGGGGCGAGATTTGAGACAGTTGGTAGTGGTTATTTGCATTGTTGGGACAACGACCTGCATGTTCTTGGACTGCTGGAACAACGACCTGGATGTTCTTGGACTGCTGGGACAATGATTTCGATGTTCTTGGACTGCTGGGACAACGATCTCGATGTTCTTGGACTGCTGGGACAACGATCTCGATGTTCTTGGACTGCTGGGACAACGACCTGGATGTTCTTGGACTGCTGGGACAACGATCTCGATGTTCTTGGACTGCTGGGACAACGATCTCGATGTTCTTGGACTGCTGGGACAACGATCTCGATGTTCTTGGACTGCTGGGACAACGACCTGGATGTTCATGGACTGCTGGGACAAAGACCTGAATGTTCTTGGACTGCTGGGACAACGACCTGAATGTTCTTGGACTGCTGGGGCAACAACCTGGATGTTCTTGGACTGCTGGAACAACGACCTGGATGTTCTTGGACTGCTGGAACAACGACCTGGATGTTCTTGGACTGCTGGGACAATGACCTGGATGTTCTTGGACTGCTGGGACAATGACCTGGATGTTCTTGGACTGCTGGAACAACGACCTGGATGTTCTTGGACTGCTGGAACAACGACCTGGATGTTCTTGGACTGCTGGAACAACGACCTGGATGTTCTTGGACTGCTGGAACAACGACCTGGATGTTCTTGGACTGCTGGTACAACGACCTGGATGTTCTTGGACTGTTGGAACAACGACCTGGATGTTCTTGGACTGTTGGAACAACGACCTGGATGTTCTTGGACTGCTGGAACAACGACCTGGATGTTCTTGGACTGCTGGGACAATGACCTGGATGTTCTTGGACTGCTGGAACAACGACCTGGATGTTCTTGGACTGCTGGAACAACGACCTGGATGTTCTTGGACTGCTGGAACAACGACCTGGATGTTCTTGGACTGCTGGAACAACGACCTGGATGTTCTTGGACTGCTGGTACAACGACCTGGATGTTCTTGGACTGTTGGAACAACGACCTGGATGTTCTTGGACTGCTGGAACAACGACCTGGATGTTCTTGGACTGCTGGAACAACGATCTCGATGTTCTTGGACTGCTGGAACAATGACCTGGATGTTCTTGGTCAGATAGAACAAGACCTATAATTACTTGGGCTGATGGAACAAGAACCTGAAAGTTCTTGGACTTCTGGAACACCGACCTGGGAGTTCTGGGACTCTTTGAACTATGACCTGGAGGCGTGGTATGATTCCCAACCTCAGCAGAGCGACTTGAAGGTCGGGTGAACAAGATGTCCACAACCCATCCTCCTGCTTAGATAGCACTTATGAGAACATTAATAGGAACCGTGAGAAGGATTCGAACCTATGCTCTGAGCTGGTACTCCCAAACAAACGCCTTAGACCACTACACCACGACATGATGACATGACCATGTCGTGGTGTAATGGTTTAAGGGGTATGCTTGGGAGTACTCAGAACACAGGTTCGAATCCTTCTCACGACTCCCGCTATTTTTTCTCATTAATTCGTCACGTTAGTATGATTTCTCGGGGCAATAGTACCTATACTAACGATGAAGACCATCGTTGATATGTTGACGTAGTGGACAATTAGAAAGTAGAATTTGGTGCTATTGCATTTGGACAAACTGGTAAAGGTTTTGTATTTATGTTGCTAATAAAGCCTAATCATCCTAGGCCTAATACACAGTATCTGAGGCCTAATATAGTACAAATATGTACTTTACTAGGCCTAGAAATATTTAAATTTGTTTTGTAGCTTTATGTAGACTCCAATAATAGTAGATAGTACCAAATTCTACTATCTAATTGTTCATTACGTCAATGTATGTACGGTGGTGTACATAGTTACAAAAGAGAATTATCTATAAACAGGAGGATGGGTTCCAACCCTCGAACAATGACTACAGAGGCTTAGTGGGTAAGATAACATCATCTAGGTAATCCTAAAGATGTTGAAGCATTGGAATACATCAAGCGCTTGAAGCCCACATCCTGCTTCCCAGGATGTGACTTATGTGAGTTGACTCATGACGTTATTGGCCCATCTTCATTCACATCATCAAGGCCAGATACGACAAAGAACTCGTAGAACGTCTACTAGTAGGCAGGACTAAAGAACTAGACCTCACTCCCTATAAGCACTGTCAGATAAGGACTGTTGCTAGGTAGGCCCAGTTTTTGTTCCGTCAAATGACGAATTTGTGAAACTTGATTTTTGCAGATACCTGATATTTTTTTGCAGTTAATTAATAATTATCTGGAGTTAGAAAAAGAAGAGGTGAATTCGGGTCAGCTTTTACTTGCTGCTAAAGTCAAGGGGAAAAGACGTGGAAACACAGGAATATATTGATAATGGAACAGAAATAACCAGGCCAGGATTCACTAAGCATTTGTGCATCCATTTATGAAACCTGTGCTTCTTTCTTCATTCATGAAGGCTTCGTTTACATTTATTAAACAGTTTATGAGTTCAGAGGTACAGCGAGTGTTGTTTATAACACAAATAACCGTGGGTTGAGATGTTTCAAAGCTTGTAAACTGTTAAATGGAAAAAAAAGCCATGATAAAGGAAAGATGTATAAGTTTCGTAAATGGTTGCATACATACAAATATGGAAAATATTGCATACAACAATGACTAAAATGTATTGTTTAATTGGATGGGGCAGTTTGAGGAGGCACACAAACGACTATTAAAGGCTAAGTTTCGACCCAGAACCCCTACGAATTACAAAGAAATAAATTGTGCATGAGAAAAATGCAAAGATGCCTGAGCATAGACCTGAGCATTGACATATCCAGCAAAGAAGAGTGGGAGCCATAGAAAACTACAGACTTAAGACTAGTTGGAAAAGCTAGTATTTTTTACCAAAATTATTTGGTCAAAATACCAACACCAAAGCGGAACAGATAAGTGAGACAGGCACTAATCAATTATGACTACATAACACTACTAAAGACACAGGTAATGGCTAGATACCTGTGTATTACTCAAGATGCCCCCCCAAAAAATACCAAAAAGACATAACCAAAGATATATTAAAGTGCTCTGATTAATTACAGACTTTACCAAATGAAATTTGATTTAAGGGGAAACGATGAGACTCATTTTACTCTCATCTTGAAAACCTGGACACATAATGAAGATGAACAGGCAATTTGAGCCATATGCTGAAGGTTTTATTTCCATCAAATGAACAAGAGTTAACCTTGAACGGTCATCATATAGCGGATTGACAAGGGTTGTCATGTTTGTCTCTGATGACATAAAGGTCAACGGAAAACAATTTTTTATGATACAGAGTTAATTACTTGATTTGTTTTATTTTATCACTTTAGCGTATAAATAAGGCTAAATGAACTAATTGGGAAGTAATTTGTGATTATACAGACCACAAGGCTCATCCGGAGGTCAGGTTTTATGATTTAATTTGCCAGTTCATGATAATCTATATTAGTATGCCAAGGTACTGCCAAAACTCCACTTCATTGCGTCTATTACAAACAAATAAAACAAAGATACAGCCAATAGTGGATTTTAGTAATGTGTATTAAAATTTTCGAGGAAAAGTTGCTTTAAAACAGTAGGAATGGTGGAATTTTTGCCTCTACACATCCACTTGCACTGGTCGATACAGCGGCAGCCTCGAGTTATTGCAGGTCCGCATTCGATCCCAGACGGTCCAAGAGTTTGGGTACTATTCCTATCCATGGTCCCATCCCAGATCCTTATCCTCATATCCCTTATTCCCTTTGTAGTGCTGTATTGTCGTACTGGCTTAGAGCTTTCTCCTCATAATTCTATTCTATCCCTTTGCACATCAAGGCTTTACCAAAGCGGATAGTCAGGACCCACGGTGGAATCTGTGGAATAATGCATTGGAATATATTTCGAAAAATGAACGGGAACAATGTAAGTGTCAAGAATATTCTAACACTAAAAAGCTTTAAGAGCGATTTGTGAAGTGGCCAGCATTAGCATAAGTCAAAACTCACTATATATGCGAGTGAGGACAGTGCTTAAGGCTGACAAAGTGTTGTAAACACAACATCTATCATAGAGCGACGAAACTTTGGCTTCAGCGTGATTATGGCATTAAACCGGATAACATAATTCACCAGTTCTTAAACGCATGTTGTTATGCTTTATACCAGAGGGTTCTTAACAGGGGAACTCGATCACGAAACAATGAAAAAATACTTGTTAAATGAGAACTAACTATTAAGGTTATCATTATGGATTGAGGCATATCCTTGTTTTGATTGAGGAAAAAAAGTTAAAAAAATCTCACTATCTGTAGCAAGTTTGTGTATTTATGGCCGTTTTTTCACTAAATAAATATGATGACATTCTGGTTTTCTATTAGTTGTGTTCCTAGCTCTCCATATGTAAAGTAAGAGGAAGCTATTGACATTTGACGTCATAATGATGCCTAATAGGACTGGTCGTGACGGTGGTGGTGATTTCTACAGTCTGGCAAAGGGGAGTAATAGAGACATAATGGGTAATCCATTGGCGATATGCAATCGTTAAAAAGGTTAACAACTCCTGCTCTATGCTTTCAAGGACCGACAAATCGGTAATGATATTAACGGACAATCAGAGCCTTCGTAATCTACTATTAATCAACCAAAAATATATAAACAATGAAAGTTTTTCAATTACCTCGATATGAAATGTGCTGCAATATTTTCAACATATTTAGAACCAAGGAAGAGTCTGTGCCGATAAGAGATACGAGCAACAGACAGGATGGAACAGGTTAGACCATAAGAGGAAGGACACTACAGGCCTCGAAAACAGAGAATGAACTTCAGACTTTACATCAGTCGA